CATTAAATGCAAAAGCCATCATTGTTTACCCTTTGTTACAGAACCAGCAGTCACAATGACTACTTGGATAGAGATTAGACACCTAGTTAAAATTATATATTGATTGTATAATATCTTATTAAGGAACACATCAGATATCAAAGAGATTTCATCAATGGACCTTCAACTTTCTCTTTGCTCTCTGGTTTTTGCTCCTGTGTTCAGCAAGTAATTCTGTTTGTGTCGACTTTTTCCCTTCAGTGGAGTATCAGCTAGCTGGATCATCTTCTTTGTCTATCTGACCAAGATAGAACACTGAAGTTTGCAGTTATTGAACTTTTTTTTTTGCTCATTTAAGTCTGACTGGATATCAAACATTTACTTCATGTAATCAGAATGACACCTAGAAAGAAGAGAGCGCCTTCCAACCTACTGAGGCGAAAGAGAGGTGGCACTTCTTTCACAATCGAATCCTCCAGGAATCCAACACACAGCTTTACAGATATGAACGTGGATAACACCAGAGTAAACAAGAGATTGAGAAGCCTGCCGTTCATTCTCTCAGGGGAAATTTCAAAGTCTACAAATGCTCACAACAGTGAGTTCGTTCCTCCAGATCCTTATACAGAAATGGGTGGTGATGAGGCATCTTGCAGTTTAGCTACAAATGATCGTCAATATCAAAAAGCAAAGAAAGCATCAGCTGATGTCCCAAATGCAAGGAAGCCATTGCACAATGATAGGCTGAGCGTTGGAAAACCTGACTGTGTATGTCAGTTCTGTGGTGCTTTTTTTGGTATGCTGAGCGATTGGATCGACACAGGAAATCCTTAAATCCTGTGTATAGTCTTTGTTGTCAGAAAGGAAGAGTTTGCATTCCCCTATTAAAGCCACCACCTCCATTGCTTGCTCAGCTGTTGGATCTTAATGGAGGTGCAATGTCAAAACATTTTAGAGACAACATTAGACCCTACAATGGTTCTTTGGAGCCAAACTGGATCCACGCTCTTTGACAACAAGAGGACCTTATTCGATGGTTATTTGTGGTGAGAATTACCATAGAATTGGATCCTTACTTCCAGTTGATGGAAATAGGCCCAAGTTTGCTCAGCTATATATATTTGAACCTGAAAATGAGGTTAACAATAGACTTGCAAACTTCGCATCTCGAGAGGAAGTCTTGCTGCCTGAGTTACTTGCAAGTTTGCTTCGAATGCTTGATGAAAACAACGAGTTGGTCAGAACATTTAGGCGCATTCGACAAGATCTCCAGCTTTCTTCCACACCAAATCTCCGACTCAGAATCTTTGGGATCAAAAGTAGGAATCGACAATATGACTTGCCAACTAGCTCTGATATTGCAGCCTTAATACCTGGTGATTTTGTTGCAGATAGGGAGGATAGAGATATCATTGTTGACCATCGAGGAGAAGGGCTGAAACGTATAACAAGCCTCAACCCAAAATTTGAGGCTCTTCACTTCCCGTTGCTATTCCCGTACAGAGAAGATGGGTTTCATCCTCAAATATCTTATAATGCCTCCTTTTGTCCAGCATCAATGCGCAGAAAATTTGTTACTCAAAAAGAATATTATGCTTTTAGACTTCAGTATCGATTGAATGAGGGACATACACTGGTTCAAAGTGGCAAGGCATTGCAACATTACTGTGTTGATGCATTTTCAACAATTGAACTCAATCGACTGGCATTTCTTAGAACTCATCAAAAAGATTTAAGAGCAGAAGTTTATCAGGGGTTATAGGATGCATTTGCAAAGGGAGACATGGATGGAGAAAAACTTGGAAGAATTATAATGCCATCATCTTATACAAGAGGACCAAGATATATGCAGCAACTATATCATGATGCCATGGCAACCTGTCAACATTATGGTAACCCAGATTTATTTGTTACATTTACCTGCAATGCTCTTTGGGAAGAAATTGTTGACGCTTTTGCAGATATGGTTGGACCAAACAGTGAGTTGAAGCCTATGGTGGTCTGCCGTGTGTTTCACATGAAGCTTGCCATATTAATTGACCAGTTTAAAAGAGAATCATATTTCGTAAAAACGATAGCCAGTGAGTTGCCTGTAGATGACCTTTCATTGTATAAAATTTCTTTTATTATTTGAATGAGCTATCAAGTTCAAATGATGGACTGTTTTTTCGCAGTAATCTACACAGTTGAGTTTCAGAAGAGGGGCCTCCCACATGTCCATATGCTTATATGGTTAGCCAAAGAGGATAAGCTAAAGTCAACATCTGACATTGATGATATGATTTCTGCAGAGATACCAGACCCCAATCTAGATCCAGAAGGGTATGCCTGCAGTGGTTAAGTTCATGATTCATGGACCTTGTGGTGTTAACAACCCCACTTCACCATGTATGAAAGATGGTAAATGTTCGAAGTATTTTCCAAAAGAATTCTGTTCAGAAACTTCGTTCGACAAGTTTGGCAATGTCGTGTACAGAAGAAGAAATTCAGGCATTCAGGTTGAAAAAGGAAAGGCAATGCTGGATAATAGATATGTCGTTCCATACAATCGGAACTTATTGGTTAGAGCTCAAGCCCATATTAATGTGGAGATATGTCACAAGGGAGGGTTAGTGAAGTACTTATTTAAGTACATTACTAAAGGACCAGATAGATCTCTTATTGTTGCAGAAGACTCGACAAGCTCAGTTCAGGTACCATCAAATATAACCAAAAAAACCAAAGACGAGATACAAGAGTTCATTGATTGCAGGTCGCTGTCCTCATACGAAGCTATATGGAGAATCAACGAGTATTCTATACACCACAGAGAGCCTAATGTGGTTAGACTTGGTGTACACATGGATGGACAACAGAATGTTTCATACAAGAGAAGGTCAAATATCCAAAATGTTTTGCAAAATCCAAGGGCAGGTAAAACTCATCTTACTTCATGGTTTGAACTTAACAGACATGATTGCAATGCAAGAAAGCTTACATATGCTCAAATACCAAATTCCTTTACATGGAATGAAGAATACAGTGAATGGACTCTAAGGAAAAGAGGTTTCGCAATAGGAAGGATAGCATATGTTCCTCCAGGACGTGATGATATATTCTTTCTTAGGCTGCTATTGACCAAAGTAAGAGGAGCAACAAGCTTCCTCAATTTAAGAACAATACAAGGGGAGGTTTGTAGTACTTACGAAAGAGCATGTCAAAAGTTGGGGCTTCTGTCGGACTCTTCAGAATGGATTCAGGTATTACAAGAAATTGCAGCATCAAGTATGCCACACATAATACGGACTACATTTGTTTCAATGCTGATGTTCTGCGAAATACCTGATCCCAATGCTCTATTTGAATCTTCATGGAGGTTAATGAGTGAAGATCATGTTTATTCTCTTCGTAAACAGCTACACTCAAAAACTTTCCAGCCTTCAGATGAGAGACTTAAGAATTGGGTGTTACATCAACTGGAAACTTTACTAAGGACTTATGGTTCTTCACTTCAGCAATTACATCTCCCAAGACCGACAGATTCAGAACCTGACGATGGATCAAATCCCCTGATTAATGAGCATCTTAACTTTGATGATGATCAACAAAGGTTACTGGCAAATACTATGGTTAGCAAACTGAACACAAAACAGCTAGAGGCTTTCACACTCATTATTCTCTCTATCAACAACAACCTTGGCAGTTCATTTTTCCTATATGGCCATGGAGGAACAGGCAAGACTTTTCTCTACAATGCAATCATTGCAAAATTAAAAAGTCTTTCCAGAATTGCTATAGTTGTTGCCTCATCTGGAATAGCAGCCACACTACTACCAAACGGCACAACTGCTCATTCAAGGTTCAAGATTCCCCTTCATATAGACCATGCATCTACATGTTCCATAAAGAAAGGTACTCATTTAGCTGAGCTAATACGTGCAACTTCATTGATTATTTGGGACGAAGCACCGATGACACATCGAAATGCATTTGAGGCTATAAGCAGGACGTTTTGTGGTTTGATGGACATACCACAATCAGGTCCAAAACACAAGTTGTTTGGAGGAAAAACAGTAGTCTTTGGTGGTGATTTTAGACAGACTCTACCAGTAATTTCATATTCAGGAAGGGAACAAACAGTTGATGGATCCATCACGAGGTCATCGTCGTGGCCCTTTTTTAAGGTGCTCAAACTGTCAAGGAACATGAGGCTTAATGATTCACAAGATAATACAAACCTGGTTGGCTGTGGAATGAACTTTGGTGAGTGGATTCTGGCGCTGGGAGATAGAAGGCTGCCAACAAAATCCTTTATGGCAAACACACCTTCAGAATGGATTGAGATACCACAAATACTCTTGATATATGCTGGAAAAAAATCCAATCGAGTCAATCACAAATAACATATATGACGCATTTGAGGAACAACACATGAGCATAGATTACCTAAGTGGAAGGGCAATCGTTACTCCTACTAATGCAGTTGTGACTGAAGTGAATGACTTCATGTTGCAAAAAATTCCTGGACATTGCCGTTGCTACTACAGTTCAGACTCTATGCAACTTGATACAGAGGTACTGATGACTCGGTATTTGCACATGTTTTCCCCTTTGTTTCTTAATTGTTTGAGCTTGAATTATTGAGTCTTTGGCCTATTTTATGCTAGGTTGTATTCCTTTGTCCCATTTCAGGTCCTAGCACATAAAGTGAAGCATAGGCGCAAGTTTCAAGTCAATCAGAGATCAATTGACGATTCGAGAGAAGAAACTCGGGCATGACCTGAAGAAGAATGGATTTCTACCTCACTTTATGGACAAAGAATCATGCAAGCTTGTTATTAAACGAAAGAGGACGAGACTACGAGCGTCTGGGATCAAACGGCGATTGATTCGGAGTCCGGACGAGGGAGAAACGAAGCATTAAACAGAGGCTGAGCAAGCTGCACGGGCAGACCAGGGAGGCTGCACGGCCGTGCACGTGAGCAATATGGCCGTGCGCCTTATGCCGAGGACACGCACGGGCAACCCCTGAAGCTCGCACGGCCGTGCACCCTGGCCGTGCGAGAGGGCTGAAGTTCGACTAAATGACACGCTGCGTTTTGAGTTGCACGGCCAGAATGGTGATATGCACGGCCGTGCACCCTGGCCGTGCGAGTCGGGATTTCCTGGTTTTAAGCCAAATTCCGAACCAAAGAGGAGGGAGAGCTGGGTTTTGGATCCCAAACACCCAAGGGACGAACCAAAGAGAGAGAGGGCGATTTGAGGGCATTCTTGGAGTGGAGTTGGGGGATTTCTTCGCCTTGGAAGCTCGAGGAACAAGCCCGGACTTGAAGACTGATCATCTGAAGATTCTTACTGCAGTCTCTCTCTTCTCTATGGAGTAACTTCCCTTCACTTAGGTTTTGAGGAACCCTAGCTATGTTTGTTTGATTGGATGATTGTATGAGTACTCTGACTTGATAATCTTGAGTTCATATTCAATCTATGCATGTTTTCATGATTCAATTCTGCTTTAGTCGAGATTATTGATTCTGCTTTGATTCTATGAGAGGGAATACCTGATTAGGTCAATAGAGCACCATAGATTGATAGTAGTGGATCGATTGCTTTAGTCGAGGGTTGATTCACTGCTTTGTATCGATTGAGAACCTCTTTCGATAGAGGGAGTCTAGTTCAGAACGCCTTGATCAGTTGTTCTAGAGAAGGATACGTCCCTCTAGGCAATTGACTCAAGAGGGCCTTGTTCCTTTAGTCGAGACTCAAGGTCTAGTCAAGGATTCTCCGCATTGTGAATGAAAGTGAAACAGGTTAGAGATCATCAATCGTTAATCTGGCTAGTGGCTAGGGGGAATCATACCTAAGTGAGTTCCCAACCTATAATTAGATTAACTTTAACTGTAGTTTGCTAGAGTAGTTTTAGTTCTTTTATCTTAATCTGGTTTGCTAAATAATAAACTGAAGCTGAGTAATAGTAACTCTAGAGACCCGTGGATTCGATATTTATCACTTGAGCCACTATACTGCAGTCCCTTCCATTGGTTACACTTGGCCATTGTTAGGTGTTGTGTTATAGCGAGTCAAGTTTTTGGCGCCGTTGCCGGGGACTTTCTAGAGTATTAGGAAAGGCAGAAGTTTGTTACTTTAGCGTTTTTCTTTTCTTTTCTTTTCCACCCTTGCTTTTCACTTGGGTGTTTTTGTTTTTGTTGGTGCAGATCTGAATCATGGATCCTAATGGCTTCTCCAATCATTGGGGGTATCCACCACCATCTGGGTGGTATTACCCCGAGACTCCGTGGAGCAATCAAGGCGGAGAAGACTATGGATTCGGGTTCCAGTACCAACCCCCTTACTACGGAGAACAATCGGACCCCTGGGCATATCAAGAACAACCTCATTATCAAGAAGAATTTCTCCCACAACCAGAAGGGCCATCGGCGCTGGAGTTACTCATGGAGCAGTTTGCTCGAGACTGTGAGAGAACATGCTCCAGGATGGATCAGTGTGTCCAGGCCTATCGTGAAACAGATGAGATCCTCCTGAGCCTTAAGAAGAGCGTCGATGATCTTGAGCGATCTTGGGCGCAACCTGCTCCAGATCACCCTTCTGCTACCATACAAGAAGAGGAGGAGGAAGAAGACGGCTACAAGGGCATTGTGGAACACACTGAAGTTGTCACGGAGAGCTCCCGTGATGATCATGATCAGGCGTGTCATGTCGTAGCCGACCACACCTTCCCACACCCCAAACTGAGCTTTGAAGAGGCGGGCATGAGTGAGGAGATGCAGGAAGATCTCATGAAAGAAATTGCTTGGCAACTTGCTCTCCAATCCGTGCTAGAAGAAGAAGAGCAAGAAAGGGTGCAGAAAGAAGTTGTGGAGGATGACGAAAGTGAAGCTGGAGGAGTTCTTGATCATTTTCCAGGGATGATACCACATGAAGAAGGAAGGGAGGTTGAAGAGGCGATTGGTGTCCAGGCTGAGGACGAAGTTGAGGTGGAAGAGGCTTGCACCGGCCATGAGTTACATGTGATATCTCCACCAAACTTCGAGGAACTGCTTAGCAAGGACCCATTTGCAGTGTCTCTTTGCCAGACAAAGGCCACATCGACATCGGTCCCTCTTGGTGGACGCGATGGTGGTCAATCGATGCTGTCATATCTGGTTTGGGGCAATGAGACGAGAGAAGAGAAGAGGTCTTGAGGGTGGAGACTTCATCTGCATCAAGAACATGAGCCTTCATCACCTGCCACACCACATGCTCATGACTTGAGACTCCACCTCATCGACGAGAACCTCAACTTCAAGGAGGTTCTCTCATGGACCGAAACTTAGGAGCCATCGTCCGGCTCACGACGTGAAAGAAGCGCTTGTTGGGAGGCAACCCAACCAGTCGGTTTGCATTTCTTTCTCTTTTTCTCCTCGGTTGAGTCAGTTTTGTTATTTGATTTTAGAGTCAATAACTCAACCTTTGTGAGATTTTGTGTGGTGTTTGTGTTCTGATTACTCTCTCTTTCTGGAATGCACCACCTGACCCGTTCATCATCATTCACTCTTGATCTGGTAACTTCGTTCTACCCTCCTTATCTTTCCTCCATTGAGGACAATGTCGTGCTTAAGTGTGGGGGGATGTTCGATTATGTATGCGGGTGAATGTTTGGCTGTTTGTGTGCTTGGAGCCTAGTCCACTGTCCAAATTTTTAAATTTGAGGGCTCCAAGTACGTGTTCCTTGCAATTGCCTGCTCAGTATGCTTTGAATTGACAGTCTTTACAGTAATATGCAACCTAGGGAGGTAGTGTAGCACTATGGAGGATGTTGATGCATTTAAGAAGTCTCGTTTCTTCTTCATATTGTGTTGGTTGATTGAGTGAATTAGTGATCTTAGGACCCTTGAATTGTGTGGTGTTGTAGTTTCTCTGCCTGTCATGGACTCTTGTATCATGTTTTGAGTTTAACAGGTGCTCGAAAATGTGCTTCAAAATAACGTCTCCCGTGCGAATAGGGCGAAAGTGTGTAAGGGGAGACGGGAATTCGTTCCCAATTTCCACCTACTACCTCCAGCCCCCTTACATGTCTTTCCCCCGCACGAGGCTCGAGACATCCGCTCCTGGCATGGCCGGTAAGAGCAGGTTGGGACCCTTGAAAGAAAAAAAAAGGAAAAAAATAACAGAAAACAAGCAAAACAGAAAGAAAAGGGGTTCCAACCATCTTCAAGAAGAAAATAGAGCACCTTGAAAAATGTGAGTCCATGATCCTTTGTTTTTGAGAATCTCTGCATCCACAATTCATTTGTCCTCTGTTCACTATTTGCCATGATGCCGACTCGATACTAGTGCTCTCGCCGAAGAAGCTATGAGATGACTTGTGTGTCGGTTGACCTCGTAAGTTGCTAAATGATATAGGAAGTCCTCTACCTACGATCTGGGGTGTTTGTTGCTATAGAGGTCTGAAGAGTTGCATTGGTTTGAGTTAGGTTTGCTTGGGGACAAGCAAACAGTTAAGTGTGGGGGGATTTGATGACTCGGTATTTGCACATGTTTTCCCCTTTGTTTCTTGATTGTTTGAGCTTGAATTATTGCGTCTTTGGCCTATTTTATGCTAGGTTGTATTCCTTTGTCCCATTTCAGGTCCTAGCACATAAAGTGAAGCATAGGCGCAAGTTTCAAGTCAATCAGAGATCAATTGACGATTCGAGAGAAGAAACTCGGGCATGACCTGAAGAAGAATGGATTTCTACCTCACTTTATGGACAAAGAATCATGCAAGCTTGTTATTAAACGAAAGAGGACGAGACTACGAGCGTCTGGGATCAAACGGCGATTGATTCGGAGTCCGGACGAGGGAGAAACGAAGCATTAAACAGAGGCTGAGCAAGCTGCACGGGCAGACCAGGGAGGCTGCACGGCCGTGCACGTGAGCAATATGGCCGTGCGCCTTATGCCGAGGACACGCACGGGCAACCCCTGAAGCTCGCACAGCCGTGCACCCTGGCCGTGCGAGAGGGCTGAAGTTCGACTAAATGACACGCTGCGTTTTGAGTTGCACGGCCAGAATGGTGATATGCACGGCCGTGCACCCTGGCCGTGCGAGTCGGGATTTCCTGGTTTTAAGCCAAATTCCGAACCAAAGAGGAGGGAGAGCTGGGTTTTGGATCCCAAACACCCAAGGGACGAACCAAAGAGAGAGAGGGCGATTTGAGGGCATTCTTGGAGTGGAGTTGGGGGATTTCTTCGCCTTGGAAGCTCGAGGAACAAGCCCGGACTTGAAGACTGATCATCTGAAGATTCTTACTGCAGTCTCTCTCTTCTCTATGGAGTAACTTCCCTTCACTTAGGTTTTGAGGAACCCTAGCTATGTTTGTTTGATTGGATGATTGTATGAGTACTCTGACTTGATAATCTTGAGTTCATATTCAATCTATGCATGTTTTCATGATTCAATTCTGCTTTAGTCGAGATTATTGATTCTGCTTTGATTCTATGAGAGGGAATACCTGATTAGGTCAATAGAGCACCATAGATTGATAGTAGTGGATCGATTGCTTTAGTCGAGGGTTGATTCACTGCTTTGTATCGATTGAGAACCTCTTTCGATAGAGGGAGTCTAGTTCAGAACGCCTTGATCAGTTGTTCTAGAGAAGGATACGTCCCTCTAGGCAATTGACTCAAGAGGGCCTTGTTCCTTTAGTCGAGACTCAAGGTCTAGTCAAGGATTCTCCGCATTGTGAATGAAAGTGAAACAGGTTAGAGATCATCAATCGTTAATCTGGCTAGTGGCTAGGGGGAATCATACCTAAGTGAGTTCCCAACCTATAATTAGATTAACTTTAACTGTAGTTTGCTAGAGTAGTTTTAGTTCTTTTATCTTAATCTGGTTTGCTAAATAATAAACTGAAGCTGAGTAATAGTAACTCTAGAGACCCGTGGATTCGATATTTATCACTTGAGCCACTATACTGCAGTCCCTTCCATTGGTTACACTTGGCCATTGTTAGGTGTTGTGTTATAGCGAGTCAAGTTTTTGGCGCCGTTGCCGGGGACTTTCTAGAGTATTAGGAAAGGCAGAAGTTTGTTACTTTAGCGTTTTTCTTTTCTTTTCTTTTCCACCCTTGCTTTTCACTTGGGTGTTTTTGTTTTTGTTGGTGCAGATCTGAATCATGGATCCTAATGGCTTCTCCAATCATTGGGGGTATCCACCACCATCTGGGTGGTATTACCCCGAGACTCCGTGGAGCAATCAAGGCGGAGAAGACTATGGATTCGGGTTCCAGTACCAACCCCCTTACTACGGAGAACAATCGGACCCCTGGGCATATCAAGAACAACCTCATTATCAAGAAGAATTTCTCCCACAACCAGAAGGGCCATCGGCGCTGGAGTTACTCATGGAGCAGTTTGCTCGAGACTGTGAGAGAACATGCTCCAGGATGGATCAGTGTGTCCAGGCCTATCGTGAAACAGATGAGATCCTCCTGAGCCTTAAGAAGAGCGTCGATGATCTTGAGCGATCTTGGGCGCAACCTGCTCCAGATCACCCTTCTGCTACCATACAAGAAGAGGAGGAGGAAGAAGACGGCTACAAGGGCATTGTGGAACACACTGAAGTTGTCACGGAGAGCTCCCGTGATGATCATGATCAGGCGTGTCATGTCGTAGCCGACCACACCTTCCCACACCCCAAACTGAGCTTTGAAGAGGCGGGCATGAGTGAGGAGATGCAGGAAGATCTCATGAAAGAAATTGCTTGGCAACTTGCTCTCCAATCCGTGCTAGAAGAAGAAGAGCAAGAAAGGGTGCAGAAAGAAGTTGTGGAGGATGACGAAAGTGAAGCTGGAGGAGTTCTTGATCATTTTCCAGGGATGATACCACATGAAGAAGGAAGGGAGGTTGAAGAGGCGATTGGTGTCCAGGCTGAGGACGAAGTTGAGGTGGAAGAGGCTTGCACCGGCCATGAGTTACATGTGATATCTCCACCAAACTTCGAGGAACTGCTTAGCAAGGACCCATTTGCAGTGTCTCTTTGCCAGACAAAGGCCACATCGACATCGGTCCCTCTTGGTGGACGCGATGGTGGTCAATCGATGCTGTCATATCTGGTTTGGGGCAATGAGACGAGAGAAGAGAAGAGGTCTTGAGGGTGGAGACTTCATCTGCATCAAGAACATGAGCCTTCATCACCTGCCACACCACATGCTCATGACTTGAGACTCCACCTCATCGACGAGAACCTCAACTTCAAGGAGGTTCTCTCATGGACCGAAACTTAGGAGCCATCGTCCGGCTCACGACGTGAAAGAAGCGCTTGTTGGGAGGCAACCCAACCAGTCGGTTTGCATTTCTTTCTCTTTTTCTCCTCGGTTGAGTCAGTTTTGTTATTTGATTTTAGAGTCAATAACTCAACCTTTGTGAGATTTTGTGTGGTGTTTGTGTTCTGATTACTCTCTCTTTCTGGAATGCACCACCTGACCCGTTCATCATCATTCACTCTTGATCTGGTAACTTCGTTCTACCCTCCTTATCTTTCCTCCATTGAGGACAATGTCGTGCTTAAGTGTGGGGGGATGTTCGATTATGTATGCGGGTGAATGTTTGGCTGTTTGTGTGCTTGGAGCCTAGTCCACTGTCCAAATTTTTAAATTTGAGGGCTCCAAGTACGTGTTCCTTGCAATTGCCTGCTCAGTATGCTTTGAATTGACAGTCTTTACAGTAATATGCAACCTAGGGAGGTAGTGTAGCACTATGGAGGATGTTGATGCATTTAAGAAGTCTCGTTTCTTCTTCATATTGTGTTGGTTGATTGAGTGAATTAGTGATCTTAGGACCCTTGAATTGTGTGGTGTTGTAGTTTCTCTGCCTGTCATGGACTCTTGTATCATGTTTTGAGTTCAACAGGTGCTCGAAAATGTGCTTCAAAATAACGTCTCCCGTGCGAATAGGGCGAAAGTGTGTAAGGGGAGACGGGAATTCGTTCCCAATTTCCACCTACTACCTCCAGCCCCCTTACATGTCTTTCCCCCGCACGAGGCTCGAGACATCCGCTCCTGGCATGGCCGGTAAGAGCAGGTTGGGACCCTTGAAAGAAAAAAAAAGGAAAAAAATAACAGAAAACAAGCAAAACAGAAAGAAAAGGGGTTCCAACCATCTTCAAGAAGAAAATAGAGCACCTTGAAAAATGTGAGTCCATGATCCTTTGTTTTTGAGAATCTCTGCATCCACAATTCATTTGTCCTCTGTTCACTATTTGCCATGATGCCGACTCGATACTAGTGCTCTCGCCGAAGAAGCTATGAGATGACTTGTGTGTCGGTTGACCTCGTAAGTTGCTAAATGATCTAGGAAGTCCTCTACCTACGATCTGGGGTGTTTGTTGCTATAGAGGTCTGAAGAGTTGCATTGGTTTGAGTTAGGTTTGCTTGGGGACAAGCAAACAGTTAAGTGTGGGGGGATTTGATGACTCGGTATTTGCACATGTTTTCC